CTGTTTTCGTCACTGCACTCTTATTATACTGTGTAGATCCTTATTATAGACTCTAAGTTTTACTGCTTATTTACCCTGTCATTTCATTATATATATACTTATCTCAGTAGGGCCCTGACCTTCCTCGTCACTACCCGACCGAGGTTAGGCTTGGCACTTACTGAGTACCGTTGTGGTGTACTCATGCCCTTCCTGCGCATGTTTTTCATGTGCAGATCCAGGTACTTCTACATAGGCTTACCATCCTTGAGGCAGGGAGAGCTTTTGGAGACTTCGAGGTACATCTGCCGCGTCCGCAGCCGAAGAGTCTCCATCTTTATTCTATCTTGTAGTATTAGCCCTTCTATCATAATGTTGATGTAGACATTCCGGAGTTAGAGCATTTTTACTATATTTCTCTCAGCTTGTGTTCCCGTGAGTTTTCGGGTTTTGGGATAGTGATGTAGAAGTTTGAGATATTGTGCTGTATTTGCCGAGCGGCATTCTATATACCGTTCTTTTAGTTATTTTGGTTTTGATTTATACTTCCGCAAGTTTCGATTTGTTTTCCGCACTTGTTAGGCTTACTTAGTCGTAGAGACTAGGTGCCATCACGACAGTTCACAGAGGGCGAACTGGGGTCGTGACAAACCCCCTTACCCGAATCTCTGGTGCAGACTTAGTTTTGGAGTCCAAAGTGTTTTAAAAAGGAAAATTTATTTTTTTTTAAAAACGGTGGCCTGGCACACCGAAACCAATGTCAGGTGGCGACTCTGAAAAATCCTTTTGAACACAATTCTTTGTCACTTTCTAATGGAAAAACCCTTTTAAGCTTCAAAATCTCTTTTATATATTTTAAGAGGGTTAGTGAGGTGTAAAAAAAGGTTGTGACATCTAGATTAAAGAGGTTGTACGCATCGATGAGTTCTGCTACTCATATGAGATGGCACTATGAAAATAGAAGGCCTCGCGGTGTTATGTGTCATCCTTCAGATGGGGAAGCTTGGAAGCATTTTAATAGGACGTATCTAGATTATGCTAGTGAACCGAGGAATGTTCAATTGGGTTTATGTGTTGATGGTTTCACGCCATTTTGTGTTTCTGCAACACCATATTCATGTTGGCCAGTCTTTATTACGCCGTACAATCTTCCGCCTGAAATATGTATGACTAGTCCATATATTTTTTGTAAATCGTATTATTCCTGGTCCCCGCAATCCAAAGAGTTTGATTGATGTATATTTGCAACCTCTGATTGATGAGATAAAACAACTGTGGTATGATGGAGTTGAGATATATGACATATCAACTAAGCAAAATTTTAACTTGCATGCTAATTTAATATGCACCATTAATAATTTTCCTGCATATGGAATATTATCTGGGTGGATGACTGCTGAAAAGTTAGCATATCCTTACTACATGGAAAATAGTAAAGCGTTCACTTTAAGACATAGCCGAAAGTAGTCATGGTTTGATTGTCGTCTTCAGTTCTTACCATTTGATCATGAGTTGAGAAGAACGAAGAACACATTCAAAAAGAATACAGTTGAAAATGATTTGCCACCTCCAATGTTATCCAGTAAGGAAATTTGGGAGAGGGTTCAGAACTTCTTTAAAGTTACCGAGGTCCCACCTTATAGATTTTCTGGATATGGTGTTTCTCATAACTGGACAAAATAGAGCATATTTTGGGAGTTGCCATATTGGAAGTATAATCTTCTCTGACACAATCTTGATGTCATGCATATTGAGAAGAACTATTTTGACAATTTGTTCAACATAGTGGTGGATGATAAGAATAAGACAAAAGATAACCCGAAGGCTATACTAGACTTACAAGAATATTGCAGGCGACCTGAATTACATTTGCAGTATGCGAACAATGATAAGGTGTTCAAGCCCAAGGCCAGCTACACATTCACTTTGGAACAAAGACGACAAATTTATGAGTGGGTTACAAACCTAAAGATGCCTGAGGGCTATGCTTCGACCCTGGGAAAACGTGCTGATATGGTTGAAGGAAAGCTGACTCATATTGAAAGTCATGACTGTCATATCTTCATGGAAACTTTAATCCCAATTGCATCTTGTGGTTTGCCTGAAAATATCTGGAAATCCATCACTGGGATAAGTTTGTTCCTCAAAGAATTATGTTTTACCACATTAAGGGAAGAAAACCTATTTCAAATGAATCAGAACATTCCTATAATCAGTAATAAGCTGGAAATGATATTTCCATGTGGTTTCTTTGATGTGATGGAACACCTTCCAATTCACCTTGTACATGAGGTGTGACTTGGGGGGGGGGGTTTCAATGCAGGTGGATGTATCCATTCGAGAGGTAATGATCAAACCTTCATTCATTCTTGTAATTTCTTTAACATTATCGTCTAATATGATAATATGCAGGACTATTGGCAAGTGTAAACGATTTGTTAAACAGAGGAATAGGATTGAAAGATCCATATGCAAAGCCTATCTTGCAAAGGAAATTGCCCATTTTTGTTCTTACTACTTCGACAGTCATGTGCCATGTGCTAGAAATAGGCCCAATCAGCACGATATCGTGATTGAGAATGATCCATTATATCCACCAATATCCATATTCAATCAACCAGGCCGAGGTTCTAAAGATCGATAAAAGGGGCCTAAGTAGTATAGAGTACAAATCAGCGTCAAATCATGTGTTGCTAAATTGTCCGGAAGTTCAAACCTTTCTTAAGTAAGTGTTGACGTAAGATTAATTTACATGGAATACTATTTAATTCAGTTGATGCAACTAACAAAATTTCAATGTGTCGCTCAGTGACTTCGTGAGTCAATTTGGCCATGATACTGTATATTCTACATTTGAGGCATGGTTTAAAAAGTGTGTAAGTGCATCTTACATACTTTCTCACATGTGAATATACATACTTGGTCACTTGTGAATATACTTGCTCACTTGTGATTTATTTAACACTACATGTAGGTCAATAATCCAAACAACGGTGTTAATCAATTTTTAAAAGATATATCTTGGGGACCTGCACCTACGGTTACAACTATGTCTAAGTACTATGTCTAAGTATCTTGTGAATGGTTACAAATTTCACACCGAGGAATGCTCCAAGTATAAAAAAAGCAATAACAGTGGAGTGTGTGTCAAAGGTGGTGAAGGCAACCAGCATGGGGAACATGATTATTATGGTGTAATCAAAGAGATTCTAGAATTATCATACTTAAGTTGGCCAAATAAGAAGATCATACTTTTCCGATGCAAGTGGTTTGACCCAACACCCAGAAGAGGTACAAATGTACACTCGCAGTACAACATAATGGAGGTTAATAAAAAGAGGGAGTATGATCTCTATGATCATTTTATAATTGCAGAAAAAGTTAGGCAAGTGTATTATGCTCCATATCCATTGCAGAGGAATAAGGCTGATTGGTTGGTTGTAATCAAAACTAAGTCTGTTGGTGGGATGGAAGTTGAGAATGTGCTAGATGTTGCTTACCAAAACGATACCTCAAATGTTAACCAAATGGTGGATGATCAATTAGAAAATGACTTGGAGCATCCTCAACGCATATTAGCTGATAAAAATGAAAGGATACTTATTGATCATGAGGATGGTGCTACACCCTCGCTTCCTTCCACTACACACTTGCATCCCTTCGCTTCTGATGGCCGGCAACAATCTTCTAGGCACACAACCTTTCCACCACATTCATCTACTCATCAGACTACCTACCATTCGCCCTCCCATCAGTATTCTTACCATTCTCCACCACAAGGCTATACCCCATTTCCTCCACATGATCCTGCATATAGTTACATGGGTCCAAAATTATAGATGTTTGACCAAAAACTATCCAAAGCCAGAAATCTATCCAATGAACAGTTTTCTTTACCAACAGTGGACAAATTTTGGAGTATTATGCTCCAAATAGTCCTCAACAGTGAAATGCAAACAAATACTGGCCCTACACTCAAGTACCCCCTTTCTTTCCCTTTCCTCTTAGTCCTCAAACCAAATTTAAAACTAGCTAGTCAATAAAGAGAAACCAGATTCAATCTAGTTCCAACATAAGCAATTCAAACAAGAATAATTAGGAGTCAGCTAGTACGGATCAACAAGACTTAATCATATAACTACTTATACTAAACAACTACTTCAAATTTAATCTAGTTAATTAGGACTAACACTGAATCTTTAAACACACAAACTAAGATATGACACCATAGAAAAATAACTCGAAACTCCAATCCAATTGGCGATTCAAGCCTAATGAGTGACTAAACATCATCACCAAACTCCAACTATACTAACATAAGCAAACTGAATCATTGATTATCGGAACCTAATCCTAAGAACTATCGAAATCAAAAATTAAAGAAGCATGAAATGATAGATTTAAGATTTCAGCTAAAGCGACTACCAATACCAATGATCAGAGACGAAAATGAAACATGACGATTAGGCAAAACATGTATTAACAATGACATATTCCATCAAAATCGATTAACTTGAACAACGGAGAAATCAGAAATTAGACTAAACATGAACGTTAAACAAAAATAATATAAATAGAATTTAATCTACAACAAAGCTACAAATGACACAGTAACAAAAAAAGCAAAAATTTAGAGGAAAGGATAAGGGTTCGAGGTTTATACCAAGTTCGGGGTTTTTTGATGCCAAATTGAGTACCGAGCAAACTGCGAGGATATCGGGCAGTGATGAATAGACCGCGAAGCGAAGCAAACATTTCGCGTTGGCACACACCAAAACTAAAGGTCCGGAAAACCAGTTTTGATCTCGGTATCGTGCCAGCGTGAAATGCTCGCTCGAGTCGTGTCTAGGCAAGAGGGGCAGAAGGGAAGAAGAAAATAAGAAAAGAAAGAAGAAAGAAAAGAAGAGTGAGCAGCAGCAGTGGTGTCGGTGGAAGGTGGTCGCCGGAATTTCGGGATTTGAAGGTTTAGGGGCGTGGAATGGAGAAAAGGAGAGTGAGAGGAGGCCGGTGATATGATTTTTATGGGGTTTGGAGGTGGTGAATGGCAGCAAGTGGCGACTAGGGTTATGGTTAGGTTTAGATTTAGAAAGATTGAGAGCGGTTATTGGGATTTGGGTTGGAGATATGGAGAGAGGAGAAGAAGAGGAGGAGATGGTGAAAAAATAAGGCCGATTGGAGGTCGTCCGCCGCCGGTGGACGATTTCCGGCTGCGGTGCACGGTGGGGAAGCGTGGCGACGCAGAGAGAGGGTGAGAGAGAGGAGAGGGAGAAGAAAGTAAGACTAATTGGGGAAATGGGAGCAAAATTTCAGGGTTTTGGGGTTTAAATACCATGGGTGATTAGGGCCTTAGAACTGTTGGATCAGAAGATCTTAAACGGCCGAGATTTGATCTCTGGATCACTAGATAAATGACATTGTTTTGTCATAAAACTACGCCGTTTAGATTGCTACATGGGCTGGTTTTGATTTGGACCGGGTCAATCGAATTGAGCAAAAAAGAGAGCAAAAATTAGGTATTTACACTCCCTAACAAATGTGACTTCATATTTAGGGCTCGAACATGAGGCATCTAGTTAAGAATGAAGGAGTTTTTACCACTCAGCGATAACCCTTGTTGGTAGATATACCTAACTTTATGATGAATAAACGTTCACGAATTTTATTATTGACAACAAACAAGGAAAAAGTTAGAATTTTGTTTCCTTTGTACCAAACACATTGACAATTCTAAGTTTATTTATATTAAATGTCATATATATTGTAGTTTTGCAATCTACTGGTCATGAATTTGGCTGCGGTAGTGAAATACCTCATCGGATATATAATTTTTTTAATATTTTAAAGATTCTTTTTAATTTTAATTCAAAATATAATAGATTTGGCAGAACACAAAGACAGGCCCTAAACTTGTCAAAATATTTCATTTAAATATATTTTGTCATGATTTTTGAAATCGAAGCAACTGTCCCCAGGAAAGGTTGATCGGTATTCCCCCAATGTTATTCATATTCTTCTTCTTTAGACAATTTTGGCCTTCACGTCACAAGTCCGTGTTGCATAGTTCTCAGAAAGATCAATTTTTTTTTTTTTTTAAAGCGCATTTAAGCACTGCAAATTTCTTTTTTTGATACTCAGAAATTTATAGCTCTGAAACTCATAATCAGTGTAAATAAAATGAAAGACGATCTCAAGAAAATAAAAAGATAGGTATCAATTTGTGACTCCACTAAAAGTGCCAATTATACATTTGGCAATATGAAATTTCATAAAACAGACAAACATAACAAAATGTTAGGCTAAAATTGCCAAAGATATCCTTAACGTGGTGATATTGTCCGCTTTGAGCCAAGTCCGCACGTAGTGGTGGCAAAATGGTTAAAAGAAAACAGTTATCCACCCATATTATCCATTAAAAAATAGATTTGATAATGAACTTCTTAAAAACGGGTTGAATATGGATAAGAACCATATTATCCATTTAGAAAATGGATAACCAGTGGATAACTAATAGGTTTAACTTTTACATTTGTAAAGCCTCAAATTATGGGTTTCTCAATTAATTTGGGAGACTAAGAATTCTCCCAAAAGTGATCATATTCAATAAGTCATGGATAATATGGATATCCATATTATCCGCCGGTTAATCCATTTTTTATCCGTATGAAATATGGACCGGGTCGGATAATTTATCCATTTTTGCATTACCCGTTTTTTATCCGTCCCATATTCGACCCGACCTGCCCGTTTGCCTCCCCTACCCGTACGATTTTTCCTAAAAGACCTCACACCATTAAGAGTATCCAACTACTTATAGGTTGAATCTATGATTTTCTTATGCTTTTGTATGTGAGGATTGGGAAGTGTAAATTTTGTATGCCCATGGTTAATTGTTTGTATCAATCATAGTCATAGGTGTAGTTGCTTCCCTCATGATGTGGTATCTTGAGTTATGTCGTTAAGGTAGTAAAGTTTAGGTTGCTCTAGGATGAGCAAAGGTCCAAGTGTGGGGTGATGATATTGGGCATAATTTTATATATTTTGATATTATTTACTCTCTATTTTTATCATTTTTTGATTGTGTTTTATTTTGCATATGCCTAACTTAGCTTGAGTATTGAACTTTATATTTATTTGCATTAGCAAATTTGCGTATTTCCTCCGTTCAATTAACACAATAAAGGGAAAATGCATAAGTACCCCGCTGACCTATACCCGGATTCTCAACTCACACTCTACCTTTGCGGGGTTTTTATTACCCTCCTAAACTATTTTAAAGTTAAATTATTTGCACCCTTAAAGTTGACGTGGCAGAGTGTGTGTATTTCACTCTCCCAAGGAGAGTGAGAAGCAAGAAAAAACAATTTTCAGATTTTTCGTTTTGCTTTTTTACCATTTTTTCTTACTTTTTTTCCCTTTTCCTTTTCCTTTTTCTTTGTCTTTTACTTTTACTTCTTTTTTCGTTTCTTCTCTAATTCCGGCGGATATTCATTCACCGGCGACTTTGTCTAACCGTTTTTCTTTCATTTATTCTGTTTTTCTTTTTCCTCTTTCTATCCTTTTCGCACACAAATTAAACTCTCAAAAAGATCTATTCATAAGCAAAGCAAAATTTACTCAGATCGGGATAAAAATTTATCGCCAGAAAAAAAAATTCGCTGGAAAAGTGGTGTCCTTGAAATTCTGACGACCACCATTTTATGTCGGTGGTGACCAAAACAAAGAGAAAGAGAATGAAATAACCAAAAAAAATGAGAATAATAAGAAATAAGAAAAAAGGATAAGAAAAACAAGAAAGAACAAAGAAAGTACTAAAAATACATATGGCAGCGCGTGTATTTCACCACTTGCCAAGAGTTTGGTTGTCTAGTTTTAGGGTGGTATTTATGGGGGTAATAGGATTCCCGCAAAGATAAAGTGTATAGTTGAAAATCCGGATATATGTCAGGGGTACTTACGCATTTTTCCTAAAAATTTTGCAAAAGAGAATCTATGAGATAATGGTCAGAGAATGAAGTCCTTTTTCATATTGTCTCAGGTTAAATGGTTTTGTGGGTCATTATAAACTTATTTTTAGTTTTATGATCTTATTTCTTTTTTTACATATACGAGATTTACTTATCACATAAGAGATGAAGACACTTTTTTAATTTTAATATTATAAAAAACCATGAAGGTCCATTTCCTCATCCTTTTATAATGGAAGGCCGCATGCATATATCAAAGACAATATTGTCTGGATCTTTTCCATACCCTCACATATATAGCAAAAGCTTAGTATGTGGGATTGTCCTTTTCAACTCTTACAAAAAATTCCAAATTACTATTTCCCTTTTCAGCCTTAATTAAGGCTACAAAATACTACTAATTAAATTGGTGTGATAGAAAGAAATATTCCAGTTTAAGAAAATCAAAATTCCCTAATACCTAGATGGAAAATGGATACATTTCGTTTTAATTAATATTATCAACTCAGATTTATCATATGAGTCAAACAAGAATTAAAGCCTTACTAAGAAAGTTCCACCAATCAATTAATGACATGTGTCACGCCCAAATTCTATTAAAGATCGTGATGGCGCCGGACACCACTGTCAGGTAAGCCAACACTAAATAATCAATTTCTCGTTTTTGTATTTTTGAAATCATGATTTTTTGATTCAATTTAATAGTAAAAGATGTACTTTACAGAATAAATAATAATGTTTTAACAATTTCAATACTGAATAACCCATAATCATCCCAAAATCCGGTGTCACAAGTGTGTGAGCGTTTGCTAGGAACAAAACAAAATACAATAACTGTCCGGAATACAATTTGGACAGAAAGGGAAATACCAATGCTATGAAGGAGACTTTGCTAGCTGCGTGTCGTCTCGAGAGATGCAGCTCACCTAAGTCTCCGTATCAACCATGCCACTGCGCCCACTAGGCCACTAAACATGCATGTGCCTGTGCAACAAAAATGCACAGCAAGTGTAGTATGAGTACGAAAACAACGCGTACCCAGCAAGTATCCAGTCTAACCTCGAAGAAGTAGTAACGAGAGGTCGACTTCGACACTTACTAGTGGTCCAATAATATCATGTACAGTCAGGAAGTGAATAGATATAAATTTGTTGGTATTACTGTGTTCAAAATCAGAAAATTATAGAAGCAAACAAATGTTAGTTCAATAAACAAATCTTAAAATAATTCCGAGCCCACTGAATGCACAATGTGTCCTTAAGGAATTTAATCCCCTCACTGTTGCCCAAGATATACGGATTAATTCCTCCCAGTACAGAACGGAATAACTATTCTGTGATAGCGGCACTTCAAATCACAAAACTTCAGCGAACTCAACAAACGGAGCAAATCACACTTGACACTTAATATTTATTTGGAAAATAATGCAACAATGTAGAAAAGAGGGGAGAAGATTTCAAATTTTTCATATCTGATTTCATGTCTGAAAAATGAGGCCAAGCCTCTAAATTTATAGACAAAGGAAGGGTGATATGGAGAGGTGCAATCTAAAAGGTGCCTCTTCCATTTCCCATTCACGCCCCTTAATAAAAACGCAACAATCCCCCACATGAATGGGGAATGGTCATATGAGGAAAAAACATGCATGAAAATACTGTGTGATTCACAAATAAGGATTATTCTCATCTGGATAAGTAGGTTTCCCTTTGAACTTTCCGTAGCGAACTTATGTCGGATATACTCGGTCAATCGGTAGATTTTATATCTTTGAACCGTCGAACTTTGGTGTATACCTAGACAACTTTCATAAGTCACACAATTAACCCTTAACCGTCTTTGGTTCTCACGGTTGTGTTCGTTTCAGCCATGAACATCGCCTGGTTTCATGAGTGCTTGGAGAATAGGCCTTTACTTTCATTACCCTTAAAGCGGCTTACACTTAACACTCACATAGGTGATTTCTAAACGTGTAATCCTATAGACACACTATCTGGTCATATCCTGCCAGACTCAGAAAATCATTAAAAAGCTTTAAGCTTTATTGACTCATCAAAAAGCCTTAATGCTTTACCTTGATTTCTGAACATTGTCTTCATCACGAGAATGTGTTGAGTTATTTGACAATGTTGAACCGTCATTCATAACTTTGTTTGATCTCTTTGAACTTAGCTCTTGGATCTCCAGTCTGCTAAGTAGAGTTACCGCCATGATTACTTGTCCTAGGCCTTAGCCCCATTCCCTTCAATGATATTTCAACTGCCTCTCTAGATAGGCCTTTTGTAAG